TACGTTTCAAAATTGTTTTTTTAATTTTTAAATTTACAGCAAAATTCTTTTTAATATCCGAAATTCATAAACAATCATATCGGTTACTTGGGTTTTTTAATTTTTTTATTTTATATCTTTTTGTAAAGAAAAAACTAATTTTTTTTTCTTAATAGTCTTATGAACGTGGACTTGGCGCGATTTTTTTTACAGTGAAACTGTTTTTGTTCGGATTATTATATTATGGAGGTGGAGGGTAGAAGTACTTCTACCCTCTATAGATTATGCATAACAGAAAATTTTATTGATTTTATTCGTAAATTTAAAAAACAATCATTTCCAAAATATTTGTGAATAATTCAAAAATTCAAATTTAAAATGAAAATTAATTTAGCAGATATATATCATCATTTTAAAAATTTTTTCAACAAATAAATTATGTCAGAAAATGAGAAAAAAAATTGACATTTATAAAATTGAATAAATAAAAAATGCAATTTTTTAGAAATAATTTTTTGGAGCAAACTTGTTTATTAAAAAAAATTAAAAAATGGCCAAGCGACTGCTAACTTTAATGTCATAATTTAAACTGTCAACTTATGAGCAATTATAAGATTTCAGATAGTGAAATAAATGCTACTTGACATTATTAAAGTTAGCAGTTGCTTGAAAATTTTTTGATTTTTTTTAATAAATAAATTTGCTCCGAAAAATCATTTCTAAAAAATTGGATTTTTTATTTTTCTAACTTTCTAAATGTCAATTTTTTTTTTCTCATTTTCTTTGACATAATTTATTTGTTAAAAAAACTCTTAAAATTATAAATTAATTTTCATTAATGTTACTGATAATTTCATTTCTTAAATTTAATTTTATCGTCTTATGTATGAATAGACATGTCCTTTTTGTAAATAAAAAAAAAAATAATAAATTAGTCAATTTATTAATTTATATAATTTCATACATTTATTTTATTGTGAAATAAGAATGGTACTGAATGAATTATTGTTTGATTTTTATGATTAAAAAAATAGTGAACTAAATAAATAATTTTATATTTATTTATTCATTTCAAAGTTTTTCATTGCATTGCTAATTCTTTATTGCAGTTATGAACCTTTTATATCAATAATAAATCATTCTTATCTTTAATTATTCAACTGTATAATGACATATATTTTGAATTCTATTAATTTTTAATTATTTACGATTGAACACTTAATAGCGGTTGTATATTCATCAAATTAATCAACTATTCACTTTTGTTTTGGAAATAGTTATAAACGTTTCACAAAATCATTATATAATGAACGTAAAAAATAAAAAATGTAGATCGGAATAACTACAAAGTTACTTCCACTTTTGATTTCAATTATTTTATTCAACACCTCGATTACATACCCTTAAATTTTCAAAATGTATTCGAAAAAATTTCAACTACTCAGATTTTTTATAAATAATCATATAAATAATAAAGAAAATCAAGTTTTTCACTCTAAACAAACCTAATCGATTTTTTTTACCAATTAAGTTAATTCCAAAACTTGAATCAACTATTGGCTATTTTTTATCAAAAATAATTATTAATGATGATGATAATCAGAATTAAAATTTTTACTTGAGTAATTTCAGTTAATCCAAAGAATAGTGATAATTAATAAAATTACATTTATTTGTTACAAGAGTTCTTTGTCATCCAAAATATTAATTTACAGTAATTTATTACAATTAGAAAATTTTTATTACGAGAAACAAAAAAATTAAAGAAAAAGTCAAATTTAGGACAATTAAATAATCAATTAACTATGATAATCTCATGAAAAAAGTAATAAAAATACAACAATGATTCATTTATAAAACATAGCCAAAAATAGCAATTGTTCGGGGTGAATGAAAAATTCTGGATATACAAACTTTTAAAGAAGGATTAAAAATGATTAATTTTATATTCAAAGTATATCTATTATTAATGTCTGCAAAACTTGACTTATTTTTGTTTTTAATGTAATATTATACTAACTAAATTGAATTACACTAATTAACCAATTACTTACATTCAATTTACTATTTTTATATTATTAATTGCTATAATTATTATTCTTAATATTCAATCATGTCCCTGGAAATAAACATTCAAAGTAGACTCAGTGTAACTGTATTTTAAAAATACAAACTTTAATTTTTTCACGCAACAGCCGTTTTAATCTCTGGTTTTCAATTATCATTCATTCATTTGTTCCACCTTAGATATTATAAAAATTACCCTAAATTATAATCGTGCGACTTTCGTACTTAGTCTTTCACATAGTCTTATTCTATTTAAATATGTTTGAATGTTCAACTATACAAACAAAAAAGGATATTTACGATTTTGTTTTTCTTCAATAAAGAATTATTTTTAAATTTATAAGGATGAAAACTTTTCGATGTAAAAATAATCGGGGACACTTTGATGAACTACAAAAATTAATGTATTATTTCTCTTTCATATTCTTTTACTTTCTAGTATTTTTTTTTTTTCCTCGTTCGTCGTCACTATTGCCACGAAACCCAGAAAAAAAAATTTATAACATATAACTTATGAAATGATACAATATAATGGATAATAAAAAAAAAAGTTATAAGTTACATAAGTTTAAAATCCAAATTTACAGAAAAAGATAAAAGAGATAAAAATATTTTCTTGTTTATTTGAAATAATATTGAAGATAATGTAAAATGATTTGTTTTTTTTTTTTTTTTTTTTTTTTTTTTAAATGTTAATTATGAAATAATACGCTTCACTCGAAAATTATTTTTTGTCTGTTATTTTTATGATGTTAAATTTTAACGTTTGCCATTATTATAAAGTGCACGTAATGGAGCTTTAAATGTTGCTGCCGATTGTTGTTGCATTTGATAAGCTAAAGGGTGGATTTTGAAGCCGTACAATCTAGAAATGTATATAAATATAAAATTTAGTAAATTGTTCAATTAAATAAACTCAATAATTAAAAATAAATAAATAAATAAAGGATGAAAAATCTTACCGAGGAACAAATTGATTTGTAGCACGTTTAGGTCGATATTCTGGATGAACCATAAACAACATATGAGGAAATCCAGTGCCAAAATATGCACCATCATTATGATGATGTCGTGAACTTTTTGGTGTGTAAACATCCATGCATTTAGGACAGTAACTTTTAACCATGGCTTCACCAGGAACATCACTTAATCCGAGTGGCAACATTTGTTGAGACTCACAGTAAACACGTGGGCAATGGCCAAAATCACCAGCTTGATACTTTTCAATCATCTGAGCTATTCCACGATTCGTCAAAATATAGCGAGCGTGAATGAGGCCATAAAGCATTTCTGCTGCTTGCTCAATTAAATCCGATTGATTTGGATTATCATCCAAATCGTCGTCTGATTAACAATTAAATAAATAAGTAACCAATTAACTACTTTGTAAAATAAGTTTAAAAAAAAAAAAAAAAAAAAAAAAAGTTAACTTACCAGGTTCTAAATCTAAAATCATGTCCAATGCCTGACGATAATGTGGAACTTGTTCATTTAATCCGGTAAGATTAAATTTATCTTGTATATAATCTTCGTCGACCTAAAAACAAATTAAAAAGTTTTTAGATAACTAATTGATTGTATGAATAAACAAAAAAGTGTTTTCAAAGTAAGTAATTGAAATACTAACCTCACAAAAAAATTCATTTCCTCGGAGTCCGCAGAACCACGAAATCCAGGACACCTCTTCTGAGCTGCTCATCTTTCTGATAGACAATTTATATTTATTAATATTATTTTAAATTCACTGGAAAAAGCTCCAAAGAAAAAAAATTTTTTTTTTTAATATTAAGTAAAAGATAACGGTTATAAACTTGTTAAATCATCTCGTAAAAGGTAAGGAGTGAAGTGTGTTATGATGCGTCAGAAAAGTTGGTTATATATTTTAATAAAATGACGAGTATTTTATGATGAGATATGAATTATGAGTACAGCAAAATGAAGGTTAAGAATGAGCTTGAGTAAATGAACTCGCGGCGCAGGTTTATATGAATAACGAGAAGTGTTCTGATGGAGTAAATATAAATGACACAAGAGAAGATGAAATTCGCGTGAAATATTTGTTGATCGATGATAATTGAATGTATATGATATTAAAAGATATAAATGCGACCTTAAAATGAAATTCAAATACGTAGAAGAAAGTTTATAGACAGGACAATATTTTTTTTTGTGGGATAGGCTTACGACGAGACAAAATGCCCAATGGCCGCAAGCCGTCGCCCCACGTTCGAGCTTCACCTACGTTTCCGTGGTCATCGTTGTCTTGGTCAAAATCGCTTCGGGTAAAGCTCAGGACGTTTTGCACCCGAGAAACGCATTACTCGTTAAAAAAAACCGATGTAAAAGCGAGTTGCTTAAACAAAAAACCAAAAATAAACAGGTCACTCGGCTTACCTTCGATGCCTTGATATTAGCCACGTTCTCGCTCACTCCTACCTCGTATCAACAGAGGGCGCGATTTTTTTTCATCAATCACACACAGCCATCTCGCCACCTTTCATTTTATTCTTAAACTATTACTCGTCAATTTTTATTATTTCACTCGAAATATGAAAAATTTTAATCCAGTAATTACTATTTTTATTGTATAATCAATTACTTTTAACATATATTTTAAACTCATATTACTTTTTTTTTATTTGAAAATAGAAAATAGTTTTTAAAACTCAAAAATTGTGTCGGAATTAATCATAATGATGACCAACAAATTTATTTTTTTAAATAAAATTTTTTTTTCTAAGAAAGTGTAAACTTTAGATAAAATTTTGCTATTTAAAAATTCACATTACAAATAAAATTTATTTAGTTTATTATTATATATTGGAGTAAATTTGTAAATATTTATCACTTTGCGGCTAATGCCACCTATAATATGTTTTTAAGCGTCAACTTATTTAATTTAAAAATAAAATTATTATAGCCCTACGCGGCACAAAAATTTTTTTGGTAATATTTCGTTGAATTTAAATTGACAATTAAATTATCAATTTTTTACTTCCCAGGCGTCACAAAAAAAAATGTTGACTTTTTAATAGATTTCACTCAACAAGAAGTTAAAAAATTAATAATCGTTATTAACAAAAGAAAATTTGTGCCGCTTGAGTTCTTGTTAAATAAAATTTACCAAAGTCAACAGTTTTTTATGTGACGTTTGGGAGTTTTCAAAATATTTACTGATTAAATATAATTGTTTTTTTTCTGTATAAATTATTATTTATTTTTTTTTAATATAAAATCATTTTGCACGCGTTATAATTATTTCAAATAAAAAAATTTCAACTTAAATTATTTACTCATTTAATTCATATGATACTGTAATCAACAGACATATAATCAATTTTTAGAGTTAGTTTTTGAAATCATGTTTTTTGTTAAAATAGAGTTTTTTCTTATGTTAACATAAAAGAAAAAATAAATCTGGTATTAATCAAAAACATTGTTTGAAAAACAGGCCCTTTTAGTTTTATTTAACAATTAAATTAGTGTTAAAAAATATTTTTATAAGAATTATATTCATATTTTTCTAACATTTCTCTGGATGGAAATTTTTCATAGAAAATTACAATTTTTTATTATTAATAATTCCAAATAATATTTTCTTAAACTATTTTTTTTCTTTTAAATAATAAAAAATTAATAGTTAAACTGTTGGAATTCAATATAAGGAGTACATTCTCTTAGAGTATTTATTTATTTTTTTAATTACACATTACATTATATCCTTGATGATTTCGTAATATCATATAATAAAGTGAAAGTGAAATCAATGAACATGTTTATGACTAGAATGAAACTATCCAGCTTCAGCTCAGCTTATTTATTTTTTGCTTTTGAAATTTCATGATATATTTCTATTTAATATCCAAAAAACGAATGAAGTCAATGTTTACGTTTTTAAATGATAATTTAGGCCACGGTTGCTAAGCAGCAATTATGAATCCAACATGGCGTTATGGTCTATTGCGAAAGTGTCAACATCCTATTTAAGCATTTAATTTTAAAGATTATAAACATATATATTAAAATTGAAAATTAATTTGTATTTTATTTATATCAATCGTGTATTTGATATTTTACGATCCAAGTCTCAAAAAACACCGATGTTAAAAATATGTAAAATCCAATCTTTTATTTTCAAGACTGATGACTATATAATAAGTACAAAGTTTATTTTTAACAAGGAGTAGAATTGTCTATATTAAAATTAGTAATTCAATTCAAAATGTATATGAAAAATACAATATTTATTTTAAAAATAATTTTTATTTTTTTATTTTCATCAATTTTTTTAAAGCAGTAAAATGAAAAATAATTAATCAATCTATTATTATTATTATGAAAACGATCTGAAAGTGTTATGTTAAAAGAGTAACGTAAAGTTAGGTAGTATCGCTACAATTAAATAGTATTCATAGATATGTCATGTTTATCACAGTTTTATCATTTGATTGTCGTAAAACCGTTTCATTTATTTACGTTTATATATTCACATTAAAAAAAATACTATAGTAAGTACTTAAAATAATAATACTTAGAATAATTATATTAAAATGTTATTTATTATTATATAATTTACATTTTTTCTCTAATAGATGATGCATATGTCATTCTGGTTCGGCACCGATCTCGGAACATTTTTATTCAATGGATTCAATGTTACAACTATTAGAGGATTTTTCTGCACATGTTTGGGTCTTATTGCTATAGCAATTATTTACGAAGCAATGAAAACATTACAAATAAAATTACATCAATTGACCAAAGCTGCACTAGCAGTAGATGACTCACAAGCTACTGAAAATTCTTCGCTACTATCACAAATTGTACCTACGTTCCCACGATTCTCTTCATCTTCTCAAAGGTATTTTTTTTTCAATAATTTAAAAATGTTCATATTAAAATATTTTAACTTGAAACTATTAAAATTGTCTTTTTTTTTAGGTGGGGAATAATTTTATGGACTTTTGAAGTATTACACTATTCAGCTCAAACAACAATCGGTTATATTGTTATGTTAGTTGTAATGACATATAATATTTATATTTGTATAGCATTAATTATTGGTTCTGCCATCGGATATTGGATATTTTCACCTATACTACTTTATTTTAATTTGAAAGAATTAAAACAAAAAAATAAAAATATTTCCTGCAGTCCAGGATGCTCAGGTAGATCATTTTTATAATTAAAAAACCAAAATTTAAAAGAATACTGTCCAAGTTTCTATTTTTAAATGAATCAGATTAATTTTATAACTTGGGGCATAATTTTTTTTTCAATCCCTATGAGCAGTAGCATTTATCAGAAAACTTTTATTAAATATCCATCTAAAAAATTTGATAAAATACCCTTTTAATTCAAATTGATAAAAATTTTTATTTTAACAGAAGGTAAATTAATGTAAAAACTACCATATGAATAACAAAAAATTCTTGTTTAATAACACTTTTTACAAGATCAAATGCATAAAGTACATGGTCAGTACGAATGATCTATCATCCGACTGACATGAGTATAAAAAAAATTTTTTTTAAGAATATAGTCTTATGAAATATTTCGATTTTTTTTTCAAAAGTTAGAAATTGGTAAAATTTTTTAATGAATGATTCTCATATGCCACAATTTAGATAAAATTTTAATGTAATATTTTTTGTTTCGTCAAGTTTCATTCACAATTATCAGTGAAATAATAATTTAAAAAATATAAATTTTTTAATTAAACAAGAAAAACTTTTTTGGCCAGTCGATTATTTGAAATATAAAATTTTTGAGATTATTTCTTAGTTTTTACTAATTTGATTTTATTTTTTAAATTATCATGCTGATCACACTATTTGTTTGTAAATCAATTTTATCTCATAAAAAATCAAATTTATCTTAAAAATTGTTTGTTATCATAAAAAAATGTTTCAAACTCACTAACATCAAATTAAACTGATGAATTCAGGTCGATAGTGCTTAAAAAAGTACTGTTATTACTTACAGCTTAATCAAAATAAGTCCCTTTGTAATTTAAATTATTAATTAATAACTTTCTAAGCAGATTAACAACATAAAACAATTCTAGATTAATTTTTATCATATAAATGATGTTAAAAGTTTCTAAATTTTTTACCTAATAAATTTATTAAACTACTTGCAGATTCAATTTCAACAATTGAGAGACGACCATCTAGTTTATCTGCTATTGCTGATCAATCAGCATCAGAAATAGTGGCTGAACTCCATAGTATAACCGATATAGAAGAAAAATAATGTGTGTATCAAACAAATTTGGATTTTGATAGATAACACCCCAAGTTAATAATGATATAAATTTTATTGAACAACATATAAGAGTATTTGCTCATGTTACCGTTGATAATTATTTTATACTATAAATTGAATATATTTTATTTGATAATTTCGTAATTATATTCTTACGAAAATAAAGATATTTATATATCATTGTTTTAAATACATCGTAGTTAATTTTTTTAATATTTGTAAATTATATGAAAAAAATATATAAATGAATATATGTAAATAATATATAAAACTGAAATGATGAAAAAATATACCATTTACACATAAGTTAATAGTGTTTTGTTATTTATAAATTATATGTTGAGTTATATATAGTATTTAAAAATAACTGATATTTAAGAATTTGATTAGAAAAAAAAAATATCAAATTCAGAAGCATTTATTTATATTCAACAGTTGTTTTTATGACTTGCGATTTATGGTAAATACCTTCTGCTTGTATTTTGCATATGCATTGTATTATAGTATAGTTACTTGAATTTTTCAAGTTTAGTTTACTTAAGTATTCGAGTGTATACCTACAGGATAATATATGTATATATTTTTATCCACAAGCAAGAATAACAAATCTAAAACATTGTAAACTATGATTGAAATTGAAGTAAAAAACAGGCTCCACAGCAGTATCTTTCATCCTTATCTACGAGAATGGCATTCAAAAAATCTCCAATTAACTCCAGCAAATCTTATGTATCCAATATTTATTTTGTAAGTACTCAATTTTAACCTCACTCTAATACGATATATTTTATTTTAATTGTTTATTCATATTTTCAGAGATGTTCCTGATGAAAAAAATGAAATCGCCAGTATGCCAGGCATATACAGATATGGAATCAACCATCTGAAGCAAATGCTTCAGCCTTTAGTAGCCAAAGGATTACGATCTGTACTTTTATTTGGAGTTATTAATGATGAACTAAAGGTGATGAAAATTTTCGATTTATTTAAATTTAATTTATATAATTTGGATAGAAAAGTAAAATTATAAATATTAATTTCAAACAGAATCCAATTGGAACAAATGCTGATTGCAGTGATAATCCGATTATTAAAGCAGTGCCGTTGTTACATAAATGGTTTCCTGATTTAGTGATCGCGTGTGATGTATGTTTGTGTCCTTACACAAATCACGGTCACTGTGGAATTCTTTATGAAGATGGCACAATTAATAATAAAGCAAGTATAAGTAGGATTGCTGAAATTGCAGTATCGTATGCTAAAGCAGGTGAATTGAAATATTTTTATAGTTTTTTTAATTTTTATTGATAAAATTTAGGAAATTATCAGTTAATGTTTGTTATTTTGTTTTCAATAAATAATCAATAACTGTTGCGTACACAACAGTGACAATAATAATCACGCTGATAAGGGGTCACATTGCTATTTATTTAGTCTTCTCTGCAAATAAATATAGCTAATGTAACAAGATTTAATATTTAGTAATGTAAATAATTAAACTGTTTTAGGAGCTCACATAGTGGCACCATCAGATATGATGGATGGTAGAATAGGAGCTATAAAAAAAGCTCTTGACAAGGCAGATCTAGCTCATAAAGTTGCTGTTTTATCTTATGCTGTAAAATTCGCATCTGGTTTCTACGGACCTTTTAGAGATGCGTCAAAGTCAGCTCCTAAATTTGGTGATAGAAAATGTTATCAGCTACCTCCCAATAGTACAGGCTTAGCCGCCAGAGCTGCTGTAATTATATAGATTTTTTTTATAGTTTAAAAAAATAATTAATGAGTTATTTATTTCAACAGGCACGAGATGTTGCTGAAGGGGCTGATATGTTGATGGTTAAACCGGGAATTGCTTATTTAGATATTGTTCGTAAAACAAAAGATACTTATCCAGATTATCCGTTATTTATTTATCAAGTATCTGGTGAATATGCTATGATATATCATGCTGCTCAAAATAATGCTATTAATCTTAAAGATGTGCTCACTGAAATATTAACTTCAATGCAGCGAGCAGGTGCTGATTGTATTATTACTTATTTTACTCCTTATATTTTAGATATTTTGATTCCAAAGAGTAAATATTGAGTCTGCTGTACAAATTTTTTAATTCTTTTATAGAACTCTACATACATATGTTTTCAGTTTAGAAATTATTTATGGATAAAATTATACAAAATAAATAAATATCTTATCAATTTAAAATTGTTTCATTTCATATATTTTATTGTTTTTAAGTATTTTTTTATTATAAGTAATAAATAGTTTGAAACATTTAATATAATAATTTCGAAAAATTCTATAATACTGAAAATAGTAAACGTTAGACTTATTATTATTATTTATTTTATTTTTCAATAATTTGATTTTGAATTGCTTACAGTTAAAAAAAATTTTTTAAGTAGTTTTCAGATTGCTGCATGAAAATTATTTTACCAGATATTTGATCATTTTAAAAATTTTTGCAATAAATAAATTAAGGCTAAAAAAATTGACATGTAGAAATTTAAAAAAATTAAAAATACAATTCTAAAAAATAATTTTTTGAACAAATTTGTTAGTTAAATAATATTAAAAAATGGTGAAGTGACTCTTAATTTTAATGTTCTGATTTCTCCTGTTTTAATCAAATGATTTTTATGAAGTAATTTTTATGAAAGCTGATGTAATTTTCAAGAAACTAAGTCCTGTTAGATTAGATTTAAAATAAGATTTCGCGCATGACAAATTTATCAGTACATACAGTAAAAGAATTATGAAAAAAAAAAAGTAGTTAGTAGCACATACTTAAATATATCATAATAATTTTCTGTATTAAATAAAAATTAAAAAATATACAGAAAATTCCAGAGTAAAAGTAATTATAAATAAATTTTATCTCGAATAATAAATTATACAGATAAATTTCAATTGATTGACGATTGACGTGTCCGAAGCACCCAAATAATATTCTTGATAATACGTAACTGCCACTACGTATAGTGTTGGACCAATCAAGAAACGCCGAGCAGTTTCTAGTAAAATACTTCCGATATCCAAAGATAGCGTGTATACATGTACTGTATGTTATTTTCATTTGTGCCAGTGATCATACTATGGATACAAACGTGGGCCAATGAACAATAGCCAACCTGGAGCAGTCGTAACCAATCAAATTTAATATTTCCGTTGCTACGTATCTTTATCCACCAATCAGAAGAAGCCACGACAAATTTAACTGTTAATATGCCGGTGCTGAGCTCGTCCGCCAGACAGTCAACCGAGAATCAAAGAACGTGAAACAAGGATATCCCCTACGTAGTGTTATTTTTCACTGTATTACTAAGTTTTACTGAATATTTATTCAACTTTATTGGTAAATACTAATTTTTTATTTTTTCTGTAGTAATATTTATTTAAATTCTGTCATTTTGTTAAATTAATTTTCACATTTTATTGATTTGTATATACTATAATATAAATAATGTTTGCCACGTATCAGAGGGTTCCTTGTTGATGTTCCGTTATAAATTCTTTGGCGTGAATCAGTTTTAACAGTTATTGAATACTGAGTAAAAATAATCATTTGTACTTATTGTGTGTTTTTCAATAAATAAATTATTTCTTTATTTTGGATTTACTGATAATACGTAAAATTTGCGTTTAATTAAGCCGATAACGCCGGGACATTTTGGTTTGGTGAATTTTTTTTTTGATTTTTCATTAATAAATTCAGATAATTGCTTATACATGCGACAAATGCGGACAAATCAATCATTCTTATCAATTTAATTATTCAAATTTGACTATCTTGAATGAAATTAACTTAGCTTACTTACGGTTATGCGTTTGTGAATTGAATGATGACCTACTAGAATGTTCTGCCACCCCTTACGTGGGTGGGGACAACATTTTTTAATGAAAAGATAACTGTTTTGATGTTTGAAAAATTTATGATTTTTAATTTAAATTATATATACGAGTATTGATTAATTTTTTTTTTTTCTTTTTTACAGATAACAAAATACAAAGAAAAATGAAGGGTATATTAGCTTTAATGGTGTTAGGGCTAATTGCAGCTACTGCATCTTCGAAAGAAGATAGTAAGAAGAATGACGACATTGGAACAGTTATTGGAATTGATTTGGGAACAACATACTCTTGGTAATTAAATTAAATTTGGTTATTAATCATTAATATCTTTAAAGTAACGAAAATACTCATAATATGTTTTTTTTTTTTTTTTTTTTTTCTCTCCAGTGTTGGTGTTTACAAGAATGGTCGAGTTGAAATAATTGCCAACGACCAAGGAAACCGTATCACTCCATCTTATGTAGCATTTACTGCAGAAGGAGAACGTCTGATTGGTGATGCTGCAAAAAATCAACTGACCACTAATCCAGAAAATACTATTTTCGACGCCAAGCGTTTGATTGGTCGTGAATGGTCAGACCCAACAGTTCAACACGATGCAAAATTCTTCCCATTCAAAGTAGTTGAAAAGAACAGCAAACCTCACATCAAGGTAAAGACGAAAGACGGAGACAAAGTCTTCACTCCTGAAGAAATTTCCGCTATGGTTCTTGGAAAAATGAAGGAAACCGCAGAGGCTTATTTGGGCAAAAAAGTAACTCATGCAGTTGTTACTGTACCAGCTTACTTCAATGACGCTCAGAGACAAGCTACTAAAGACGCTGGAGCGATCGCTGGTCTTGTTGTGATGAGAATCATCAACGAACCAACCGCGGCTGCCATTGCTTACGGTTTGGACAAAAAAGATGGCGAGAAAAACGTACTCGTATTTGATCTTGGTGGTGGTACTTTTGATGTAAGTCTTTTGACAATTGACAACGGAGTCTTTGAAGTAGTAGCAACTAATGGTGATACTCACTTGGGAGGTGAAGATTTCGATCAACGTGTTATGGAGTACTTTATTAAATTGTACAAAAAAAAGAAGGGTAAGGACATCAGAAAAGACAACCGTGCTGTTCAAAAGCTTCGTCGTGAAGTTGAAAAAGCTAAGAGAGCGCTCAGTGCCAGTCATCAAGTTAAAATTGAAATTGAATCATTCTTCGAAGGTGATGATTTCTCAGAGACCTTGACCAGAGCTAAATTTGAAGAATTGAACATGGATCTTTTCCAGAGTACAATGAAACCAGTACAAAAAGTACTTGAAGATGCTGACATGAACAAAAAAGATGTTGATGAAATCGTACTTGTCGGAGGATCCACCAGAATTCCAAAAGTTCAACAATTGGTTAAAGAATTCTTTAATGGTAAAGAGCCATCCCGAGGTATTAACCCCGACGAAGCTGTTGCTTATGGTGCCGCTGTACAAGCTGGAGTTCTCTCCGGAGAACAAGACACCGACGCAATTGTTCTTCTTGACGTAAATCCTTTAACCATGGGTATCGAAACTGTTGGAGGTGTTATGACCAAATTAATTGCCAGAAACACTGTTATCCCGACCAAGAAATCACAAATCTTCTCTACTGCATCCGACAATCAACATACCGTTACAATTCAAGTTTATGAGGGAGAACGTCCAATGACCAAAGATAACCATCTTCTTGGTAAATTTGATCTTACCGGTATCCCACCAGCACCCAGAGGAATTCCTCAAATTGAAGTAACCTTCGAAATTGATGCTAACGGTATTCTGCAAGTATCTGCTGAAGATAAGGGAACTGGTAACCGTGAGAAAATTGTTATTACCAATGATCAGAACAGACTTACACCTGATGACATCGAAAGAATGATTAAAGATGCTGAGAAGTTTGCCGATGAAGACAAAAAACTTAAAGAACGTGTCGATGCTCGTAATGAATTTGAATCTTACGCTTACTCAGTCAAAAATCAACTTGCCGATAAAGAAAAGCTTGGATCTAAAATCTCTGAGGAAGACAAGGAAAAAATAGAGACTGCTGTTGACGAGAAAATTAAGTGGCTTGAAGAAAACCAGGATACTGACCCTGAAGAATACAAACAACAGAAGAAACAGCTTACTGAAATTGTTGAACCCATCATCGCGAAGCTTTACCAAGGTGCTGGTGGTGCTCCTCCACCAACTGGCGGTGACGATGATGATCTCAAAGACGAATTGTAAGCTAGTTACAAGCAAATACCAGTTCATCTTAAATCCAGACTGAATTAATTAAGAGAAAATTAAAGCTTCCTATTGCGATAATTGCTTCGGAAAATTAAATATTTAATTTCTTTTTTTTTTTTTTTTACTATCTCTTTCAATTCACATTAGCTAATTGATTCCGAAGTTATGTATCAAAAGGAGTTATACCGTCGAGCATTTATATAAGATCATTAAATTACAATTATAATTATTTTACAAATCTCAACGACGGTAATGTATTCTAGTTTGTTCTAGGTAATTAGCCTTATGATGAGATGAAAATATGTAGATGTTATTCTATAAATTTTGTACTGATGAGGTTTTTCTTAATTCTCATTGGATTTTTTAATTTATTGTTAAGTAAACATATATATATATATTTTTTTTTGTATGATTATATTGTATGTCACTGAGAATAAATGAACTTAAAAATGCGTGTGATTTTTGTCGTTCGTCAAATGTTACAAAGCGTGCAAGATAATTAAATACAATATTAATGTAAATTGTATGTTTGAATGCGTGAAATATGCTAGGAATGTATTAATATGAAAATAATAATAAATAAATCATTTTTTTCAAAAGTTTTTATTTTTTTATTTTAAATTTAGTACCAAATTATTTAATTAAATAATTATGAAATACGATACATTTATTTTTCAATTAAAACACTTTAATCCAAAGTTTCATACAAAAATCGTAATTGTTTTCATGCTTTTTTGCACTCCAAAAAATCAACCTATTTAATGATACAGCATTAAAACTTAATAAATTAAGGAATGAAAAATTAAAATTTAACAATTTGTGTGTTAACCAGAAGAATATTAAGTCAGACTTTTATAATAAATTGTAATATAACATCTAACAATAATAAAATTAATATATTAATGAAATAAACATTTTATATGAAATAGTTACCAAAATTATGAAGCCTAAAAAATAATTTTATTAGTTTTATTAGTATTTTGTTTATTTAAAGTTCGTTTTACAGCACCAATATGTTTTCAGTATGCAGACGTAATACTTTGTTAGTAAGAATTAGTTTCGGTATAAAAAATAACATCACAATGAATTTCTTTTAACACGTTTTCTTCTTTAAGCTAAATATTTTTTTTTTTCGTAACTGAACACAATTCAATTTTTATTTTTTAGAGATATATATGAGTAAATATAAATACAATATATTTTAATATAATCAAATTAATGTTATTGTTTGACTATACAAACGTTTTTTAATTTTTTTATCTTTTTCTGTAATTTGTAAAAAATATTGATGTTGAATCTTATTCGTAATTCATTGAATTTGAAATGATAAAAATTATATAGCATAAATATAGTTAGTTAATACATCAAGAGTTACAAAATTTTTGTTAAGTATGTTCCTAATTACGGGTAATTTTTTTTTTTACTTTTACTTTCATCAAAGTATTTTTTTTGTGTCCGAAATTTTTTTCTCATACTTATCCACTCCAAATAAGGATATTTTTGTTTAAAGTACCCCACATTTTTACTGTTAAAACTAAGAACAAATTAAAAAAATATTGAAGCTTATGTAGTAATCGTTGTGCTAAACTTTAATCTAGATTAATCTTACAGCGCTGTAAGAAAAAATTTCTGAGAATCGAATAAAATTTCTGTTAATTTATAAAAATTAATAAATTTTTTTTTTGTTTTGTAAATCTAAACTTTCACAAAATTTTAACTGCAACTTTTTTTTTTTAACAATGTTTATAGGAAAATATGATTATATTAAATAAAAAAAAAAAAAAAATAAATAATTACATTCATAAAAACATGGGGAACATCTTTAAAGAGTATCTTTAAATTAAAAAACACTATATTATGTTAATGCAAATAGTATATATTATACGAATACATACATGGTTATTCGATTACTATATTCGATAAATATTTTTATCTCTTAGTTAGTTAGTTAGTTAGGACGTTATGTGTTTAATAAAGCAAACAATAACGATCGTAAAATAATAGCAGCCAAAAAGGAAAAATTCTTATTGTATTTTTGCTATTAAAAATTTCATTTCCAATTATATTTACCTAAACTTGATAACCTAGTATGTATATCTTGTAAAATTATTAGAGAAATATATTTTTTAACATGATAATTTTATAACTGATTTTTAATGAATGATTTTCTTAAAATTTTCATTTTTCTTTTGCATATTCTAATTGTTAGATTGAACACATTAAATGTATTGTTTTGTTTATTTTTATAATGCCTCTTAAACTTTGTGTTTGTAAATTCGTAAAAATTATGTTTATTTTCGTTTTCTAATTCGTTTAATTATTCCAGGACATGACCAAGAGAAGAAGCAAAATAAAACTTTACTAAAACATGTATAGTTATATTTCTACACTTGATCGTTTTCCTATCGGTCGTCCTTTATGATTGATTGATTATTTAACTTGAATATATGCTTTTCATCGTATGAATTATTGAGTAATATTAATAAATACATTTATAGTTTATTTTTGTTTTATCACGATTCAATTAATTTAATAACGCAACAAGCGAAACGCATAACAAGATCCAGGGTTTACAAAACATGTATTTTTTTGCAATATTTGTATACTAAGGTATAATATAAATAAATTTTGTAAATAAAAAAAAAACAACACGTGAAAATTTATAGTTAAGTATCGCCAGTAGTTTTGTACGCCTCATAACAAGAAGCGTTAGAGGGTGTACTTGTGTTATCGACAAATGAGATTCTTCAGATTAAAATTTTTTTTATTTATCTAAATAAATCCAGAGTAATAATTGTATTAATAAATAACAGTATTTTTGACGGCATGTCTCTGATTTTAATTTTCTCACTATTTATTTTTATTTATTTCATTATAAACAAATATCGACTGTCATATCACAGTTGTTTAAATCTTAGTAGGAGTACTAAATATTTGTTGCTTTCACATTAGTATTTTGAATATGGCATATATCAAACATATAACAATTAAATAAAACTCATGTAAGTCTATAACTCTTTGGGGCTAAATGCGTATCACAGTAAAAGAAATTTTTCTTTCTTTTTTATTTTTTTATATTTTATTTTGTTTCTTACTATTTTTTTTCTTACGATATTTGACAGAAAAAGTTATTTTCCTAAATTATTAAATACCATTCAGAGACATACCTATAACTAAGCGAATCATTTTCCATTTATTTTTTACACCCTTTCTTTCTATTATTTTTTATTTTAAATCTAAATTTTTATCATTCTAGTATTCACAGTTTTTTTTTTTTTTTTTTTTTTTTTCATGTGACCACACAGTGATTTGTCATAGTTGATTTCTAATACTTTATTTAAACAAATTAGCGATAATATTTAAGCGCATTTTTAAAATTTGTATTTTTTTTGTTTTCATATTAATATTTATAGATATAAACGTATTCTATGATATAAAAAGGTACATTCTACTCATTAAGTTATTATTTTTGTTATTATTGTGTAATCTTAAAATAGGTTTTTATATATCTATGCTGCAGATTGGAATATATTCATTGATACTATAGTTGTTTTTTTCATAGTTAAAGTAAAAACTCTTAAAAAGTAAATTAATAATCATTATTCAAGTTTGTCAGTAAGTGAATTGTCAAATTTAAGTATTTTAAAACTTTTTTCTATTAATATAGAATTTATTTTAAAGAAAAATTTCAAATTTTACTTATTTTTCGTTTTTTTATCTGTATAATCGATTCAAAAAATAGCTACTAAAAACGTTATTAATTTCCATATTTTGTGCAGTATATTCTAAAAACATGCAGTTAATATATTCGTTAAATAGTACATTGTTAACTAGAAGTTAGTAAATTATACTTTTCAATATATAAATATTGATAATTTCTGATTTTTTTAATAGTAGCTTTTAAATTTGTCGTAAGTTAAATAAAAAATATTTAAAAATTTTCCATTGAAAATTGTGAAATATAAATAAAACTTAGAAGTAGTAGTTAGTACGGTGAAAACTTAACTGTAATTTTTATCGCTGTTTATGATTATTTTAGGCCATTACTTACGATTTTCTTCTTTTATTCATGAATATTTATTTTTACCTATCGCGAATTAAAATTGACGTTTTGCAAAAGCTTCAATAACTTTTGGAACATGAACATCGAAACCACAAACTGTTAACACATCATTAACATATTTGCTTTCCATGTATGTTGATGTAGTGCCGACAACCCAATTTACCAATCTGTAAATGAAAATCATTTTTTTTTTTTTTCAACATTCTAAAATATACATTTTAATTTTATATAATAATCACTACGATATATAGCAAATGATAAAATTTAATGTGTTATTTACATAACGAAAATCGTAATAGACTTATAATTAAAATAATGATAAATATTAATTACCTTGTGTTAGGTAAATTCATTTTCTTCTTGTAAAGATCCATAGCCCGGGATGTAAAATCATATTTTTCACGCATCTTATCGACAACATTGATAAAAACATCATATTTTCTTCGATGATGTGCTGCCCAAAGAATTGGTTTACCAAGATTTGGTGGAACATTGACTCGGACACGCATTTTTTCGTAGGCTTCCTGATATGTTGCATTTTTATCAAGATGAACTGGTCGTGCATTTAAACCTTCAGTGGCAGTAAAAGCCGATACAGTAACTTTATCTTCAGATCGTAATAAGCCGAGTGCAATAATACAAGCAGCTTCAAGTACCCAGGGTTTGAAAGTATCAACTGACACGTGAGTAATTTGTTTCTTTTTCCAGCTTTCTGTGCTTACAGTTATTAAAACTCTTAGACCCGTTGGTTCAATGTTTGCAAATGAAATATTTAAAGCCGAATATAAAGCATCAATAATACGTTTATCTGGATTAGGTAATTGTCGATGTTTAAGTTTATTTTTTCTTCCTAACTTTCGTTTTGTAAATACTGGTATTTTATCTGGATCTTCGTAAGTTTTAACAGCCATAAGAATAACCGCAGGACGAATTTTCGATCTTAGTATTTGATCTTTGTTTGTGATGGCACTTAATATTTTTTCAGTTAATTGAGATGTTGGTATAAGTAAACCAAGATTATGAATTCTTTGAAGATTTTCAACAAGAGTAGGCAAATCCATTGACTCGATTAAAGCTTCCCAAACTTCCGGCGAATCAATTAAACTAGCATGAACATGATCTAATTTATAATTACATGTTCTAATTAATCCTGCAGCTCGTATAGCATCTTCACACTGTCGAAAGTTATCTACCCGTTCAATAAAATGTAAAATTTCTATTGCTTTTGTTTCATTACCAAATTCCAATTTTGCTTTATCTAAGCCAAACATAATGTATTTAAAAACAGCCTGCATGTCTGGACCAAGGCCTTTAGTAACTGGATGAGAGAGCTTTATAATATCTTTGTGTTTCCACCCATGCCTACTTTTATATTTTGTTACACATTCAGCCAAATTTTTAACATCATGAGATAAATACCATTTATTTACCATACTACGCCAACCATGTCCGTAACCATGTTTGGGAATTGATGATTGTTTACTTAGTTGAGATGCATATTCAATGAATAACATAAACTGTTCTGGATTTTTACATTCTTCTGAAATAAAATTATATGCTGCTTGTCGTAATTTCTCACTTTTTTCTTGTCGTGCACATACAGCTAGAGAAAATATCAAAGTTTCAGGCTTAGGTACTGATCCTGATTCCAATAACTAAAAGTGAATATATTATCATACTTTTTAACTGTCCGCCTATAAAAAAAATTTACTGTTTTTGTAATTTAAAAAATTACCTGTTTTATTTTAGTAATTGGAAATAATTCCGTATCTTTGTCTGCAGCTAATTCGACAATAGACGTAACTTTGGCCATTGTAAAGTGATTTTGATTGGTCCATGTTCCTGAATAATAAACTGGATACTCTTTACCAATGTAAAGATATCTTACAAATCGGGTCTTAGGGCTATCATCATCCACTGAAACTCCAACTTCTACTGCCATTTCTGCGCTTCAGGAGCAGCTGGATTTATATATATATGTATGTATAACTATTATTTTATTTATGCATAGTGTTGTTGAAATTTAATTGGCAAATAAAATAATTAGAAATTTATCACGTACTAAGTATAATAACATATCATTTTCCCCCAATCATTCTTTGTATTTTTTTTTTTTTACAATGCACAGTACACATAACTCAGTGAAATTATGTATGTTTAGTTTAGTTTTATTTTTTCATTATGCCAAAGCCGAGGCCAAGTGGCAATGAGAGAACATACATAAAATTTTACAATTATTGTGCAATTTTAAATATGCAATTGTATGTATATAACAAAAGAAAAATAAAAAATAAAAAAAAATAAATTTAGGTATGTATATCAGATAAAATTATAAATATAAGAATAAAATTTGTAATTATAATAAAATAAAGTGTTAATTTTTTACCTGATTAGAGTTTACTGATTTAAATTCAAACCCAATCATACAATACACTGACGTACAAAATTTGTGACAACCTTAATCGAAAACACTTGCTAAAAATACATTCGATAGAGAAATATATGAGTAGATATATGTTTGTATATATGTAGGTATACTTATTCGAAACCGTTAGAAACTTGATCACGGTATCAACATTGAACCCGAATCTACCCGAACAATTTACTTAGGTCTTGTGATGAGACCCGAGAAAGTCCGAAGATGATTCTCTTGTTCATTCAATGGTATAATATTAAAATATTATTATTATTATTATTATTATTATTATTATTATAAATGACTGGTTATCATCATATGTGTACAACTCAAGTATACTTTTTTTTTTTTTTAATTAAATTGTAAGAAATTATTAAGAAACATCATATGGATGTTATTTCTTCCTCCATATCTTAGTGACAACTGTTCAACTGTAATAACAATGTTAAAAATATTAATGGTGAAAATTTTATTTTTGTTATTTTGTAATTTACTGACGCGGCTCTCATGAAATTGGGTTGCAGTCAAATAGTCAAATTGACAACATTCCGAATTAATAAATTACTAGAACTTAGAAAGTAAATATAAAATATAATTTAAAATAAATAATTTGACAAATTTTAAAATTCCGAAAAATATAATCTTGAATAAAGAAAAAACTAAAGCTATATATTAATAGAATCTTTCAAAGTCATAAAGTCTCAATAAATTAAAAAACATAACAACGAAAATTTTTACGCCAAAATAAATGAACCGACGAACACTCATTTAGTCGAAAAATGTGAATGAATTTAGTTATAGTTATTTGGATGAGTAATTTTCAACCGAATCATTATTCATATGGACGAGTATTTGGATGAATATATACGTCGGAACGAACTTTTTTCGAAATTAAATTATAATTTTAACTCTTGAGGAATATAAAATTTATGTTTACCTATATTCGATAGCTCGGTGTTTTATAATTTACAAAATTGTTTTTCGGCTAGTATTCTATTTAAGTTAATGTATTTTATAAACTTTGAATGTAGCGGAATTTTTAATTTTCTAAAGTTTTGATAATTCGGAATGTTGACTTTTTGGGAGATTATATTTAACAAGAATTTCGATCTGACTGGTTGACCGCAACCCCCCCAAGCGTCACAAAAAAAAATGTTGACTTTTTGGGAGATTATATTTAACAAGAAGTCAGAAATGTATAATTGTCAACTTAAATTTAACAAAAAAAACATTAACAAAAAAAAATTTGTGCCGCTTGGGCCATGAAATTCATTAATTAGCGCTAAATTTAAATTATGTTCTTATTCTTTTATATTAAAAACATTAAATTACGTATTTATTACTCTAAAATTCCAAATAAGTATATATATAGTACGGGAGTAGTAATATTAATAATTATTTTGAAGTAAAATTTACACAAGTTCGATTTCAATGTTTTTATTTGCAATTTTTTTCTAGTCGATGCGCCACCTTTGAATAAAATTTAAACTAAACTTAAAGGCAATGTTTCAATTGATGCGATGGTTGTTGCTGTTGCAAGTTTCATCGATGAGTTGCATCAGCCCATCAGTCCATAGATAAGAACCAGCAAGTGGAAACAGAAAAGCGTTTCATCAGTGCGTGTGTCATCGATTAGACTGATTCAGTCACGAGAAGCAATTACAAACGTCTAGTTTAACTAACGGTGCTAAGACAATTCAAGTATGTAAATCAAAAATACTCTTTCTTTCTTTTTTTTTTTTACTAATAGTAAATTCAAAGTTTTTTTTTGGAGCAATTTTTTTTCGTCGCTCCTATTGCACCATAATACTCAACTTGAGTAATTGTTTAGTGAATAGCATTCAAAAAAAGCGCAAGTCTGGAAAATTCTATGGTTAATTTTGAATTCAACCACGTGGAATTCTATTTCGTTGGTTTGAAACGTCAAATTCACGCTTAGTTTTAAATTAAATCGTTGAATTTTTGACAATATTTACTATTGGTTTTATTTCACTTTAGTCAAAAATTATGTCAATTGGGTATTATATAATATGTCTGGCCCTGAGCCATGTCCTACTGCCTCATATTTTGCCACGCGCCCTCACACCTTTTATTTTAAAAAATTTTCTGTCACAATATCTTGATTTGGTCAACAAAAGTATAAAAAAAAGTTAAGCTTAATTAATTGAAAAAAAAAAAAAAAAAAAAAAAAAAAAAAAAAAAATGCGGACATTATTTTTTAGCAAAAGTATTTTTAGACTATTTTATTTGAAGGTTAGCATTATTAGTTCAAGGTCAAGACAATCAAATTCGACTTTGATCAAGAAATAAATTTATATTTTATTTTAACTTATAAATTCATTTATTGATTTTATTAATTGATATTAATTTAATATCTAATTTTTGAAAAATAAATTTATAAATGATTGATTGCAAGAAAAAAAATAACTTCGCGCAGACGTACGAGTTTAATAAATATATTCCAAAGTTAGATAATCATACGTCATACAGATGCTGTAACAATGAATGATTCAAAATGTGATTGTCGTGTCATAATGAAACGCTAATTTGATTGATTATTCATAATACAATCAATATCACGAAATTTCTTAGTTTGAATGAATAATTAGTGAACTTTATATGAGAAGCTAAATAATATTTTATTATTACAGATAGCAACGCAAAATGGGAGTTCCTGCTGGTGATTTTGAAAAAGGAAAGAAGGTAAAATATTTATTATTATTATTATTATAATTTGTTTCATTTTTGAGTAAATAACTTTATATTGATTTGTTCTAGCTTTTCGTTCAAAGATGCGCTCAATGTCATACCATTGAGGCTGGTGGCAAACACAAAGTAGGTCCTAACTTACATGGAATATGGGGTAGAAAGACAGGTCAAGCACCTGGATACACTTACACCGAAGCCAACAAAGCTAAAGGTACATTTTTTAGATTAAAAAAAAAGTTCTTTAATACTACTCTGTTATTAACCCTTGTATTTTGAACATTTTAATAGGTATTTCATGGAACCAAGATACGCTCTTTGAGTACTTGGAGAACCCGAAAAAGTACATTCCAGGTACAAAGATGGTGTTCGCCGGATTAAAGAAACCCCAAGAACGGGCTGACCTTATTGCTTACATTGAGAAAGCCAGCAAGTAAAATATAAATTGTTAATTTCAATGCCTGAGCAAATTTCACCAATGAAGACGCAAATTGATCAAATAGTTAAATTATCATCTTTAAAATTTGCGTATTCTCTGTCCAGTCAATTGGTAAACGTTTTCTCCTGTTAATTCTCTTTAAATGTGAATCATCCATCCCTGAATATCTTGAAATTATTCGATGATCTTCGTGAAGAATAATTTTAGGGATGTTGCTATAGGAAATTAGTAAATAAATGTTCTTAAAAATAAGTAGATAATTGAACAGTATAAAATTATATCAATTTGTGCATTTTGAGAAAACGAAAATCTCAATTGTTAACGAATTGAAATTTATTTAGATCTTTGTGGTCAAAATAAATCATTGTCATTATTTATTTATTTTAATTGTGTACAGTTAATTCATGTAATTCATCAACATTTTCGTCAATAGATTCAAAATATAAATTCAAAAACAAATTATATCTTGTTTTTTATTGTCATTGAATTTATTTATTGCAACTCAAAAATTTATGGTAAAAATAAACATAAATCCAAACGAAATTTCACACTTAATTAAACAATTTTTAATAATGATGTGATGATAAATATTTTTTTCAAATTGGTCGACAAGAAGAAAGAAAATAGAAACATATCTGGTCATAATTTGCAGTTGCTGCCTTGGTTTATCCTGATTGATAAATAAACATCAGTAAATAAAATATATTTTTTTTTTTTTAAAATAGTTTGAATTTTACCCTTATGTTCAACAGTTATAATTTTTTATTTTTGAATTATTTTATTTTATTCATTTTTATTATAAGTATAGTAGTATCTATAAATAAATAATGCCGTACCAGATAAGAGTGAATTTAAACGAAATTGTCTTAGATTTTATTTAAGTCAGGTATTAAGTTCAAAAACTTCTAAAATACCAAATTTATCAAAATAGTCAACCTGCTCAACTCTTTTTTGATGATTTTATTATAATTTTCACACGTGCGAAATATACTGGAAGAGACAGGTAAGTATATACACAATTCTGTATCTCAGTAATACCGACAAAGAGAGATTATCTATATGATTAAAAAAATAAGATAAATTTTGTCTTCGGCGTAATTAAATGATAAAATAGTCTTTTGAAAATGAATTTAGTATCATTGTGCTTTTTCAAGGTTTCATATAATTTCGAGTATTAGTTAATTTATTATGTAAATTTTTGCGAGTATTTTTTAATAGATTCGAATCAATAATTTTCAAAAAATCGGGAAGTTATTGGTTTAACCCCGATTTTCGCAAATCAAGTTGTCATATCTTCACGTTTTAAGGTCCGAGGAAACTATTCTGATTATTTCCACAAAGATGTCCTGATGTACTTGCGCGCACGTGTATGTGCTCGAAGAACTCAAGACTTGGTAGAAAATTTTTTAAATGTTTTGAGCTTTGACCTCGAATATAGCGGGAAGTTCAAAAATAAGGAAAATTTTGTGACGAGCATGTCTTTATTTTAAAGGACATTTTTATAGTTAAATTTAATGTCATCAGAAAGATCTTGACATGAATTTGTGCCTTTTCACGATTTTATATATTTTTCACTTGTAGTCAATTTGTTATGTTAAGCTTTTGAATAGTCTGTTAGTTCTATAAGTTTGTCTCTCAAAATTTTCTTTCAATTATTAGTTTTTAGTCTTGTCAATATACAGCAATATTATTACTTTAATTTATTTCAAAGTGAGTTGCGCTGTTTTGTAAATACTTTTATTTATTTAGTGTTTTTAACTTTAGCATCATACTGTGAATTGTTTTAAAAAATAACAAAATAAGGTAATCTAAATAAGATACTTATCTAAAACTTCTAAATGAAAATTAAATTAGCCAACATCGGAAAATTTTATAAATTTTTAATTAAAAAAAATTTGACATGTAAAAAATTTTAAAAATTTCAAGGGCAATTTTTTAAAAATATTTTTCTATTTATATTAATTTTAATTGATTCAAAAAATTAAAAATTGTCAAATGTCTGTTAATTTTAGTATCATAACTTCTAACTATTATAAGCCTTATAAATATTATAAAGAAGTGTACACTTCTATTGATAGCCGCGTCTATTTGCATGTAAAAAAGTCTTAATAAATCCACGCCGCGTGAATATAAGGGCCTTTACATTCACGTAACGTGGAATTAAGGATCTTACATTCGCGCGGCGTGGATTTATCAGGACTTTTTTTTACGTATGAATAGACATATCCATTATTATAAATATTATTATGAAATTTAATTTTTAAGTAGGACGTATAACTTCAAATTTACTTTTACTAATTTAAACATTTTTAACTTCGCGTTAAGAAAATTAAAAATCCTCAAAAAAAAATAGGGAAGTTATTGTGTGTGTGTGTGTGTGTGTGTGTGTGTGTGTGTGTGTGTGTGTGTGTGTGTGTGTGTGTGTGTGTGTGTGTGTGTGTGTGTGTGTGTGTGTGTGTGTGTGTGTGTGTGTG